TGGACCTCAGAAGCACCAGGAACAGGTTGCATTTTCTCTTCCCTGCTCCCCACTTGCTCTCCCTCTTGCTGGTTGCCTGCTTGGGTTAAGACTTCAGCTTCTTCTTTGGTCTTCCCATCTTCAAGGTCTACCAAGAAGTCTGTGGAGCCCCACGCTGCCTCCCATCCCTCAGTCATTCCCATGGCATCCACAGCAGAGCAGGTCTCCACGTTTTCCTCCACAGCATCAGCTGATGGCTGTGCATCCTGGCTCGGTGACTGCACCTCCTCAGAGCCTTGCTTAGATACTTGCAGGGCTGGTGCGGGAGGTGGTGTACTAGTGCACAGTGATGTTCCCCCTGAGGTCTGCAGAATTGGCTTGGTCTCACTGGTCTCTTCGTTTGCTTCCTCCTGTTTCAGACATCTCCCACAAGGCACACAGAACATCTGCCTGCTGAAGTTGCTCCCCATGTTGGCACGCAGCTCAACCTGCAAGAAAGAACAACTGGGTATCACAACTGTCTGTCTGCAAGCAACACTGTCGGCTTGCAGGACAGGCCACCCTTTACAGAAGCATACACCAGAGAGCATCAGTAAGGTAGAAGTAACAACAGCACCACTGTACATTCTTAATTGTCACTTGTCTGCTTCTCTGTATTTGCAGAGCTAAGGCAGTTTGGAGCTTTGAACTCTGCACTCCATCAGGGACTCCCATCAGTCACTCAGGCATGGTTACTAACTGGCAAGGTGGAAATCAACACCAAGGAGTAGCTGGTGTTAATCCTGCCAAGTAACATAGTTCAGGTGCAGCCTATTGACAAGAGCAACTCCTTCAACTTGAAGGGGAAATGGAGCTTAAACTTCCAGCTGGAATCCCTACAAAATGACAGCAAACCCAACCAAGCAAACACTCTTTGTTAAGTAGAATTAAGAGATTTCCACTGCCCAGGCTTATTCTGCACAGAGAAAAGTAGTTCCTTCCAGTTGAAACCACATGGGCTTATTTTACTTTCCAGGGCTGGTACAGGAAAAGTCAGTGTCAGACCATGGAATCTTCCCAACACTTAAGTCCACACCAGAATACTCAATGGAAAGTTAAACCCATGAGTGTACTTTCATTAGAAGAAGCCTTAGTTTTGAATAACACTGCCAGCATTTGGATACTACCACAGATACTACCACTTCAGGAGCCAAAGTGAGCTAAACACCACAGGATGATCCCAGCCTCTTCAAATTTACCCATTTTCCCAACACATTTCTTCTGGCAGCATCATTAACTTATTGAAACCAATGAACAAATGAAAGACCTTAGGTTAACATAGCTACTTACCAGCCTAGAGCAGAAAATCCCAAACAGAACACAAGGGAAAACATCCCAAGTACCTTCTAGACCTCAAGCTCTACTTAAATAGCACTGGGGGGTCACACAAAATCCCTTCCCCCAACTCTCTGAGCATCAATTCCCTGAATCTTTAGTTCCCTCCCATTCTCATTCCCTTCTGTTTCAGTTACATCCTTTATTTTCCAGCTGAAGGGGTTTTATTGGCCATTTTGTGTTGCTTTTTACCAGAGGGTAAAGTAAAAGTGAAACACAGCCTCTGTTTATTGCAAATGAGTAGTCACTGCAATATAGTGTAGTAACTTGCTGTTGTAAAGCGGTGTAATAGGCCAGAGAATGGTTTTCAGGGAGCAGGCTGGGTCAGGCACTTTGGGATTTGCCTTGGCACCGTCTGCCATCCTCAAAGGGAGTCACTTCCAAAGTGTTGCTGGCTTTGCCACAGTTGGGCATCCTATTAAACACCTCTGGACTGATGCCACAGCGTTAGGAGGCTCTGAAACATTGGTACAAGGGTGATGTGTGAGACAGAAGGGCTGACTTCCCCAGTGTAGAGCCCTGGTGTACTCGAGCCCCGGGGGCATGTTTGTATTTCCCAAGTGGGTCCCTGTGTGTTGTGCTTCCCCTTGTTGTGACTACAGGCAAATGGACAGTGTTTGAGGGCTTCTCTCCACCTCAGTGATCAGAAGGCTTGAAATCAGGGCTGTGGCTGCACTTTGAGTCCATGTGGGATGTTTCCTCCGTTCTAACATCTACTGCCTGCTAAGAAATAAAGACCAAACCTGTGTCTTCAGCATTAGTCATGTCCTCAGAGACACTGCTTGAATTACACACCCTTAGTAAGTGAGGAGAGGGCACCCTCAAGGCTTTTCCTCACATATAGAACTGTTCCTCACATACTTTTATGCATTTTCATAGTTCTTTGCTCAGGGAAGAACTTAAATACCCTGAGATGACCCTGAGTGGGCTCTGCAAAGCACTGCCTCAGTTCTTCCCCACTTGTCTCTCAGGACAGCCTCTGTCTATTACAAGTTTGGCTGACCACAGCTCTCAAACTGTGCTCAGAGACTTCTGGGTGAGCAGGCATTCTGTCTCTTCTCATAATGCCTTTTTCCTCCCTCCACAGGGCAAAGACACAGATGTTTCTGAAGAAGCAGGTTTGGCCAGGGCAAAGCCAGCACAGGACAGCACTGGTGATGTGCACAGTGATGTGTAAGTGTACTCAGCATGTGATACCCTAATCCTAAAACCAGATACATCCCACTAACACTAACCAGTTGCTAAAATAGACATAAAAGGTGGCCTTTAAAGTATGGTTCACCCTCGATCTTGGTTCATAGAGGAGGGACACGATGGGTAAATGAGCTTTTCCAGTGGGAAATAAATGAGGCAGCTTCTGATACTGGGGTGCCATTAACCTCCTTGCACATAAAACCACCAATAGCTTGGCCCTTGTCCCACATCACATTCACCAGCTATGTTACAGGCTGCATGTTTGATGTGGATACCAGTTTGCATATTGAACTAAATAGAAAATGGAAGCAAAAAGCTTTCACAAAGTATTGGTTTAATGTCAGCTGTGGTTAACATTGAACAGCGATGCTGTAGAAATAGAACAAGAGTATGAGAAAGCTTTTCTGTTGCAGGATTGGAAAACTCCTTGTCCTTTGGGCATTGATGCACAATGAGACTTCCTTGCCTTCAAAGAGCTTGGGTTTATTCAGAGGAGATGGGGACATGGCACATGTGGAGAGCTAAAAAATGCTTTTCAAAGGAAAATGAATCCTCATCTTAGTAAAGGCTAAAGCAATGAAGTTATAAACCACCTGGAACTGAGGCCAAATTCAGTTTGTGAACAGAAGCATCCACAGGACATATACCAGTGGTTTTATGTCCAGTTACCCATTTAGTAACTTGGAAATAACCATGTCCTGCAGTTGCACATGCAAACACTGCTGTTCCTACAAGAGAAGCAAGGTGGGCATGGTTACGGATTTATTATAACCACTCTGTTTCCTTGTTGACTGCTGAAATCTGTTGGCACTTTACACATAGACATGTACTGTCACCACTTACTTCTGCTGCACATGGGACGTGTTGTTTTCAATGAGTCTATCACATTTTATGCTCCTCCATCAAGATGAAGGTTCAAGGCTCTCGCTGATCACACTGGACTACTTCTGAGTGCTGTCTTTAGCCTCGCAGCACAGCTTCCTCAGGCAGGGGGCATTGCCAAGGCTCCTGGCACTCATTTTCACATCTCTGTGCCTCCCTGCAGCACCTCAGGCTGCTGGAGTCTCCTCTTCAGCCTCCATCACAGGCTCAGCTTCACAGTTTTTGACTTCAGTGCAGTCTCAGGCTCACACAGGAGACTGCTCAGTGCACTGACCAGTGCAGCAGTTACACACGATTGATGTCTCAGAGAACAGCAAAAATCCTGCTTTACTCTGTCTGTTCCCCACACTTTCAGTACCACAACAGCGACATGCTTAGATGTTGAATCAGTTATAATATCATAGTGCACTTCACGTAGGAGAGATGAGTCTTTGGCTGAAGCAAAGCAGTTTCTGGTGACTAGACCAAGACTTACTTCTCTCGCACAGATAAACAGGGCCTCATGAGCATCCCCATTCCCAAACCACTTCTGAAAAAGCAGTTGCCTGGTTCCTTTGGGAAAGGTTCTGCTACACAAGCCTGGATGATGCACACGTTTTGAAGTGCAACATGGGTTTTCCCTTTGTGGGGTGAGTAATAGCTTGAGAACCCACCTACTCCAGAAGTGCTCTAACATTGAATTTTTGGAGGTGCTTAATGACAGCACTGCTTCACCAAGAATTCCCCCTTTGTTGTTATATAGCAGGTGGCACAGGAATATACACCATGCCTATCACATAGACCACCACCACATGCAGGATATCATGTAACGGCACTGAAAAGTGTTTACACATCTCTGTTTGTGACTTTGTTTAAATCCTGTGACTTTGCTTTAGGAGTCTTGACATGTTAAAACTAAAGCAAACAAGAGGAGCCTCATTTTACATGTTTCCTTACTCTTTGCATTTCCAGCCCTGCAGGATACACTGACCCTGTCTGGTTAGCTTAATGGCTTGACTTAAGCTTGGTTTGACAAAAGCTTAATGGCTTGACAAAAGCTTAATGGCTTGACTCAACAGGCCCCCTGTTCCAGCACATCTGTTCCAGCAGCATATGGAGAGATCCAGATGGATTTGACAGCCCCAAGCAGGGCCTGGTAACCTGCCAGGGGACTGCAGCTGAGTTCCTTGCCAGGCAGCCAACTAGGTTGCCCACAGGCACTGTGAGGAGGCTGGATCAGCAGAGAATCGGCTCCCAGCTCCCATGCCTTCTCACTCCACCTCTTCCTTCAAGTGTGCCCATGTACCCAGAATTTAGTGACCATAATCAATATTCCAGAGCTTTCAATAAGAGAGAAGTCCAAGAGCTTGATGAAATTGCAAACAGAGCCCCACTGCTCACCTTTGCTGTGAGATGTCTGCCCAGCATGACCTTAGGTCTTGGCCTCTGTTCACTCTTTAACAGCTCTGAGATAAGATTCTGCCTTTTTCCTCTCACAGAGCTCCTACTGCATACACATAGCTCACTTAAGATCTGACAAAGCTTGGAAGCCAGATCTGGCTGGAGGAACAGCAGGGGTGAAAGCAGACATCACTGTCTCTTTACACCAGTGACAATTACAGGTGAAAGCATGGTTTTCCCCCATCATAGTGATGAACTGGTTTGAGCATGAAGAGGCTTAACAAATAGATGAAACAGCTCTGAGACGATTTAGCAGCACATTAAGTGAAAGAAGATCTTTTTCAAGGAAGAGCCTGCTTTCAACAGAAATTAAGCTTGAGAGCATGTGGTTCAAAAAGCTTTGGAGATGGCAAGCTGCAAGCATCTTTTCAAGTTACAAAGTCAAGGTGCAGGTTTGACAGCCTCAATTAGAGAGGAAGACCTCTTCTCACCTTATTGCAGTGATTACCAAGGACTTTGTTGTTCCATCACTGCAAAGAGGCCATGGTAATTGCAGGAGAGCTGCATTAGCTCAGCTTTTGGACTGATCTTTTCTACCCTCATCCATTATCCAACGGGACTGCTTAGGTCTCATTACAGCATCACAGAAGAAACACTACACTGTTGTAACTGGGATGACTGAGGATGAAAACACTCCAAGTGGAGTGTCAGCCGCAGGGCTCAGGTTCCCTCAGGTCCCACACTGGTTTTCAGGACACTCAAGCTAACCCTGGCCTTCAAACCACTGAATTCACATTAAAGCTGCAACACTGCTGAGTATCTAAGTGCCTGTAACCGAGTCTCGGTAGTACAGGGCTCGATGCATTAAGGAACTTCATTGGTGGTCTGGAAGTATAAAGTATTTTAAACTCAGTTGTATCTTCAGCTTTCAGCAGACATGTGAGGTGTTTACAGTTACATTAACAGGAGACAGAACAGAATCAGCCCTGTTATGACACTCATCTCTCAGGAGGAAGTGGCTCAAGTCACTGGGGAGGACATCCACTGCAGGCAGGAGACATTGGCAATGCTATTCATGAGCAACAAGACACACATCCGCTCTCCTCCATGAGGCATGATGCAGAAGCATAAAGCATGATGCCGAAGGCCAACATATGGCTAAGGGAAAGCCCAGCCCACAGCTGGACACAAAAGGCTGCACAGTTGGTGTGAACCCCCTTTCTCCTCCAGAAATCAGTTCATCGAGCAAGCATGGCAAGGCAGATGCCAAGAGACTGTTCAGTGGCACCCATCATAAGCAGCTGCATCTTTCCCACTGCATGATCTGCAACAGAAACAGAGCACAGACACTGCCTGCGTGTCTCAGGCCAGCAGAGAACAGACTTGTACAGAAAATGACATCAGTTGGTTGAATCCCAAGCTTTCCTAAGAACACTTACCAGTTCAGGGCCCCTCCTCTGTTCCAGTTCAGCAGTCAGCAGCACTTGGAAGCAGCATTGCTGGCAGATGATTCCTGTTGTTCCCAAGCCTAAACACACAACAAGTAGGTAGGTCTCCATCTGGGAAAGCAGCTATTGCTTTCTGCATGGCGGATATAAGACACCATGGGAAAACATATACAACAACGTGGCCATTTCACACAGTGGGGCAGAGTGGACAAACGAAATGAGCTGTCTGAGGTCTGGTAAGACACTCATAATGCTGTTGCACACAACTGACTCATTTAATCCAACCGGGATCATCTTATAATTGTTGGAGAAGCTGCCTCTGGAGAAGAATTGCAAACACCTATCAAGATCGTCCTCATCTAAGTGAATGATGTTGGCAGCAATACAAATCACCACCTACCAGTGCAGTTGCTAAATCTGTTAAGGGAATATACATCCTACTGCTGACAATAAAGGGAGTGCTAAATGCAGTTAGGCTTCTTTATTATTTATTTGTTTCTCCCTAATTACACTTATTTCTATACAACACTGATGGCAGTCCATCAGCATTTGCTCATTCACCAGAGCATTTCAAGATGCCAAGTCACGCTTAAAAATAGACTCCTATGTGTTACAGAGCTCAGTTTGGATATGATTTCTTACATGGTATGAATGGTTATATGGATGAATTTGTCTTACAGCTCTCCAGCTTGCTCTTAAGTTTCCCAGCCCATCTAAAGCTGCATCTGTAATCATGCAGTCGATTGCAACAGGCTGTTTAGTTTAGGGGATAATCTTTTTATACAGTTCAGCATGCCAGGCCAACTTCCATGTGCATGCAGGATGAGCAATGATGCATACTGACCCAAAGCTCTGTTTAGCTCCTTCTGTTTGGCTCCTTTTCATCCACAGGCTTATGGACACCAATACTCTAGTTTGAGCTCTGACCCTGGAAAGGCAAACCTCCAGCTTTCAGCAAGGCAGAATCTCACAGCTGGATTAAGAACACATTAAGGCCATTCTGGGGGGTTGAGAAGAGGTTAAACTGCCTGTCCAAGATACAGCCACAACTAAGCAGCTCCACCACCAGTGTGGTCACTGTGCTGTGACCTATATTTAATTAAGAGCTACTTCTGCAGAGACAAAGATGCTCCTGAGGTGAGGCTCCTGCCCTTCCACTGCTGAGAGGGCAGTGGTGCTATGTCAGATAACAGCCTTATCCCAAATTTCAGACTCCTCTCCTCTTAGCAGGTGTCAAGTGTCACTTGTACACACAGCATAGCTAGAAGGACCATAAAGGAGTTGCCTCCATCAGTGAGATAGCAGCCTATGTAGTCTGTAGAAAGGATGACAAGCCTCGAGCTGGGAATAGGTACTGATGCAATGACATTTGGAAGTAATAGTTGTGTATATTTCCAGATTTGGGGAATAATTCTTCTTCCAGGCTAAGAAGAATCCTAGGTAAGTTCCCAAGTTTCAAAGACAGGGCAATACACAAGCTCTCCTTTCTGTGATGAGGCTGAAATCCCTTCTGTTATCTTGCCACTCATTTCAGGGCTGGAGAGTCAGACTCAGCATATGACAGCTAAGACCTGGACAACTCCATGGATTACACTTCCCAGAACATCCCACTTTCCTGGATCCATCTCCTGCCTCTCCGAGGGCTGCTGTTCCTCTGTTAACTGCCACTTTGCAACTACCCAGGAGCAGGATATTTTAAGGTAACTACTGCAGATGCATTTACATTGCTTGATTTCAGATTGATAGACCTATATTCCAATCCATTTAAAAACTCCAAGCAGCTGTCACTTCAAATTAACCCAATCAAAAAGTTGATAAAAATCCTAATGCTGCCAAGAAAACATCTTGTGCCTTCTATCTTCCGTAATGATTACTACTAATTCACAAAGCCCATTTTCCCCTCACTTAGAGTGATTACCTACATGGTAAATACCACTCTACCAAGATGTAGGGCTTAGAGAGCAAGGAACTAAGTGGTAGACCCGTAAATGTGGTTGTCACTCAGCTGCACCCTCAGAACTCAGGTACATTGAGACCCATCATGGTGACAAGAATCACTGCCTGATCAGGCAGCTTCTAGCAAGCTGAAGAGCCCAGCAGCCTTCTGGTGTTGTCCCATCCTCCAACATGTTTATCTTGCCAGATTGTTGCTTCTTCAAAATTTGATCTAACACGGGTTACTCAAGACAAGTGCATCTCTTCACAGCAGCACTGAATTCGACAGCCACTGGTTTCATGATCAAGTGGTTGTATCTTTCGTATGCTTAACTTTATTGCCCCTTGCTCAAGCATTTCTAAGTCAGAACAAGAAGAAAGATCAAGAGCTTAGACTCCTATATTCTTGTATATGGTGCTCCTGGGTAGCTAGGCTGTGACCAAGCCTTTGCTGCTTGTCATTTATGATGGAGGAATATTCCTAACTGGATGAGCCCATGCTCAGTGTATTCTTGGGAAACTACTGAACTACTGTACTCCAACGTCAAATGGTAATAAAACCAAAGAGGAATTCTAAAATCCCCATGATGGACATAAATGCACTCTGTGCTCCAGCAGCAGCAACACATCCAGCAGAAACCCCACAACATCCTACTATTGAGTTCTAAAATGTAACTGAGTTTAGGACTGTAGTGCTTGAATGTGTGAAATCAAGCTGGAGGCCTTGCCATTTCTGTCAGGCTAGAGCCTACCAGTGCCTGCTCACTCCTGCTCAAGTGTCAGAACTTGCTTTAGTACAAGAGATGATACACATGATTTACCCCAGAGTCAGGGTGACACTTGTCCTATGAAAGCTGCAGTGAATTCTCTGGAGAACTGCACATCCAACCAGTATCACCTTGATAGCGGGCAGCCACCACTTGCAGCAACAGAAAACATCTTCTCAGGTAGCCCCTGATGTGATAGGGGATTACATGAACTGACAGTGCTTTATTTTGCTTTTCCCCAACTACAGTTATTACCATCCAGTCCAAAATGCATGGCAATTCATGAATGATTGATGGCTCTAGTAAGCTTTACAGAGCAAAACACCCAACTGAATTATGCCAGTGATTTTAAAAGAAAGACCAAAGCGAATGCCTACAAATACAGTGATCCCTCTGAGTCACTAACATTGGAAATCATTCCATAGCCTGCAGAGTCCCAGATCCTAATGAAAAATAGGAGTTATTCAGCACAAACACATCTATCACTGACTCTGTTGCAGAATTGCTCCTGTGTCATGCCCAGAGATGGCAGTTCTTGTTCATAAGCAGCATCTGAAAATGATCCTGCAGGAAGAGCTTCTCAGCAGGAAGAGCAGCAGGGAACAGAGAGAAGTATGAAGCAATTAGGCAGGACTCTGAATATGCAGCGTAACACACAGCTTTGGATTCCGTGTACCTGGAAGTGACAGCTTCAGGGAAGGAGGCTGAGGAAGCGGCTGCTCTTGTCAGCACTGTCACAACAAAGGAAGTTCATTCCATCTCTTTGAAGTCGTTCATTCCCTGTACAGACAAAACCACTGCAGCAGAGGTGAAAACAGGCATGATACAGAAAAGTCTGCTATCAGGTAGAAAACACTCTTGTGATAAGAAAGATTGGGCTGTACTCACACAGAATCAAGACTTGAAGTTAACAAAATAAGCTAAGCTGACAGTCTTAAAGCAATAGGAAGTTTACAATCTACTCAAACCAGGCCAGAATGGTACCAACAGTTCTATTTTAGTGCAGTAAAATCAGCCATGCTTTTTACAAGAGGCAAACCCAACAGTAAAGCTGCATGTTGTCAAACAGAAGGGGGACATAGGATCTTTGCAGATAAAAGAAAGGTTATGGAGTATGCAGGAGCGGCAGCAGCGAGAAAGGAGACACCAAGGAAGACAGATTGCACAGAGGGGGTAGTCAGGGGATTGGGAAGCACAAATGGTGCTGAGGGAAGAGAGGAAAGAGCCATCTCGCTGTTCTAGATAATATGAAAGGTAGAGGAAGAGCAAAGGGAGGGAAGCACAACTAGTGAACAGACATTAAAGAGGTGGAACCTGCACAGTGAATGGCCTCCCGAGGACAGCACCGCTACCTTGGACTTTCAGTTGCCAACTTTCACATCCTTCTGAGGCTTCACCCACTTCATCTGCTGCTATTGAAACTGAATCAGAAGAAAGAGATTAAAACTCTAATGGAGAATGCATTGGTGACATTCCTGAAAGGACCACTAGGAGCAGCCAGATGGGAGGAGCCCAGAAACACAAAGGATCCCAAATTAGCTGAGCACAAGAGTAATTGCCAGAACAAAGGCACAAAGGAGCCCGGATGCCTTCCCCCTCTCTAGCAAACCAAATGAAAGCAGGCTTAGGAGAAATAATGACACAACTGCCAAGCACCTCTGGGGGAGTCGGTAGAGTGAATAGCACTTCAAAAGGTAAAATGAAAGGGCTGTCATTACCAGAGCAGAGAGAAAGTGACTTTTAGGTCAGTGTGGAAACAAGGGGAGAATATGGTGACAAAGCTTTTAAAGCTAACTGATCAGTTATCATCGAACACCAAGCTCACCTTTCCATCTCACATTGTTTGCAGGAAAGAGCTCCTTTCCACTTAACTGTCATCTACAAACGTTGAGCATCAAACCTGGTAGATCACTGCGAGCTCCAGCCTCAGTTCAGGATGGGTTCAGAGTCAGTATAGGGCATCCAGTTACACCGCACTGCTCAAACAACACAGCGGCTTGACTGAAACAGCTCTAAATGAATGGTTGAAGTCTCCTGCGGTGACTGGTTAGTGAAGACATTCCCAGACACCTCAGAAACCCCTGGAATGCCTCTTCCCTGGATTTTTTAGCGTCTCTAACTGAAAGCATCCCATTCCAACTCAAGAAAGCAGAGCTTTGCAGGCACCATTTAAAGCAATAGGCACATATTTAGCTGCTAATTCGATGACTCCTCACCTGTAACTGCCCTTTAAAGAGCAAGCACTTCATGTAGTTTATATGCAATTGTTAGATATTGCTCTGAGCAGCAGCCGCATTCAACTAAGCTCCTTTGTGTGATGAGGGAAAGCATTAACCAGCAGCTGCTACGGAAGGGACCAGATCTGTGTGTGCAGTTAAGAAGTTGTCTTTTTCTCTTTTGGAAACTCGTTATTTTAGTGCATGGGGGGGTTTTGCAGGCCTTAGTTTGACTTTTAAGAGTTTTACTGCTTGCTTGAGGCATTTGGGGTAATGTGAGGGGGTAAAAGCTTCTACTGAAGTAGTTCTAAGCACCTGAGCTGGTGGGATGGGCTGTGCTGAGCTGGCTTGCCCTATAGAGGAGAGCAAAAGGGAGAGTATCTGCAAAACAGGGGAGTGTTTTAGAAGTAAAAATGTATTGATTTGATAGCAATATTTGCCATCTTTGTGTGTGTTGCTCTGCCTTGCTGAGCTCTCTAATGTGTCTTTTTATTTTAGATGGAAGTAGGGCTCCTCTTTGTGAAAAAGGAAGGTCCTGGTTATTTGAAGACTGGACAGGATCAACTGAGCAAGCAGGTAGGCAGGCAAATGGCTCATAGAAATATGTCCTGTGGCTGTGGAGTGATGCTAAGAATGAACAGTTTAAAGTCAGGCAGGAGAGTAGAAGACAGGAGGCTCTTCTTGTTCAGGAGAGAAAACATGCTCCCTGTTTCTGGTTTAGTTGTATTGGGCAAAAGTCAGTGTATTCAGTTTAAGTGTAAGCATGAGAGCACTGTTCAAGGATTGGAAGCTCAAGAGTGACTAACCTTAGCTGAGGTATAAAGTAAAGATACTGGTAAATGCCAGGATATGGCTGGTGCAAAGGTATGTTCCAAGTGTTATTAGAGACAGTTCTGCTCAGAACTCGAGCCTTGCACTCAATGTGCCTGCTGAATTCTGGCTTTAGCTTCCACCTGTGTGCAGGGTGAGGAGTAAAAGGTGCGAGGTGCTTGATTTTAGTTCTTCAAGTTCCAGGTTTATTAAGTCCCTGTGTGAAACTGCTGAAGTGGACTTGCTGTGTGTGCTCTTAACACAGATAGGCCTGGAACTGAGATCAAAGGTTTTGCCATGACAGTAACTCTTCCCCTTCTTCATGTGAGCCATAATTGAGGCTTATTTGTTGAAATGAGTTTAAAGACTCTTTTGTTCTGATTTGCAAACATACATTGAAATAAATCCTGTATACCTGTCAGGAACTTAATCCTCCCCTACGCCACAAGTATTTGTGCTGAGCAACCAGCCTGTGTGCAGATAGAGTGTTATGCAGTGTAAGCAGTTACTCTGCTGGAGAAGGGGAGACTGACATCTCAAAAATGGACTTTAGATTGAATTACCATATGCTGAAGCCAGCCATAGATCAGGGTGCAAAATCAATACAGCTTGTAGGACAAAAAGCCAGTACTGACGTGCAGTTCTAGCCAGCCAGGAAAATCAGATTTCATCTCAAAGAAGAGTTGCTTGTGCATAAATAGGCAAATGTACAGAAGTCTGTGAAATACTGCCTGGTTTTTATGAGGTAGGAACTACTCCAAGTGGAAGGTGTCCTGTCATCTGAAAGGGACTGCAAAGTGCACTAAAATAACAGGCTTGGATAGATGAAGCTCTTGTGTAACTGAGAGAGCACTTTGTGCCAAGTAAGTGAGCTCTGTGCTGATTTGTGCCCCCTCCTTCGCAGCCTTCACCGCAGGCTGGGAGGTTGCTTTGGCCGTTGGTCAGAAATGATACCCTGCAGCTTCCAGATCACCTGTAAACTGTGCACTGACTGTTCTGCTCCCCAGAAATACAGTGAAATTACCCGGCTTCCTGTCAGAAGGGGTTGAGGTTGGACTGATGCACGGATTGACTCCACAACTTGTTAAACCTGTAAAGCTCTACATTTATAAGGTTGCACCATACACCTATACATATTCATGTCCTATCCCTGGTTCCTATTATAATGAGCTAGAAGGTCCTTTGCACCTGCACAGTGCCCCTCTGGTCATGGGCAGGGGTCTCAAGATGAAGTAAATGAGTCTTCCTCTTCTTAAACTTTTCACCTTTTAGTCCTCGTGTATGGCCTTAGGGTTTAGCCATAAACCACCTGCTTCTCCCCCTTAACAGTAGATTCAGGGGTCTGCTTTTCCTTATCAATAGCTGCTTATCAGTAAAATCAGGCATCTGCTTTTCCTTGTCAATAGAACCAGGTGTCTGCTTTTCCTTATCAATAGTCAGTGCCTTTGTTCTGCTTAGTAGGCATGATAGGTACAGACAATACCTTTGTTTAAGCAAGTGAATTCCTCTAACCCCCTTGTACCTTGGTCAACCCTCTGCATCAGGAGCAGTGACTAAGAACAGCATTCCTGACAAGCCACAGGTGGAAGGTTTTGCCCATGGTACATTGCGGCTTTGGTTCTTGGGCCTATTTGTATTTACTTAAAAGCAACTTGCCATCCATGCCCCTCCTTTTGCAGTCTTACTCTGCTCCAGTGTGGGCAATGTGACAGAGCTCTTTTCCTTAGGACTTGGGAGGCTGAGTTTGGTGGAGTCACTCTTCCCTCTCAATCCTTGCTTCCTTCTTATGAGTACTGAGCTGAGTGTTCCATGTAAATCTAGTAAAAAACCAGTGAGACTCTTCTTATTTCTAACTCCCTTGACTCTCCCCATTGTCCGTAGAAGTTATAAGTTGGGAAACTTCCAAACGCTTGGCTTAACAATGTATTCTGTGTGGGTGACAAGCTTATGCCCTTGCTTTTCAGCTTCCAGTTTGAATACAGATTAGTCACTTGTGCAGAGCCTTCAATGAAGTCCTGGTCCTGCAGGGAATTTGGGAGGCATGCTGCATGGGATTTCTGCTACCTCTGCTGGAACTGCAACAAAGATGTCAAGGTCTTTGTGGAGATCCGTAGAAGAGGCTGCAATGGCTGGTGGAAGGACCTTTTCCTTTAGGCTGCTCTCTTGCAGAGGGGGAGTTTGGGATTTGTCACAAATGGAGATCTTGTTGCGTCTTTGCAGCCTTTTCTGGGATGTAGAAACCTTGTCTTAATCCGTGCTCCTTGTTCTTTGTGCTTGCAGGGACAAGGACCGGTGTGGTGAGGAAGCTTGCAAGCCTGAGTGCTAGGGAGGTTGAACTCTTTTGTAGGTCATGACAACTATTTCCTTGCCATTAGTATATGTAATTATGACTGGCACATAGGTAACAGTCCCTAGGTTTAGGCTCAGCTATAGGAATCGAGTAAAACATGAGAAATACCTACAGAAGCCTCCAAATAAGACTCCAGAGGGAACCTTCAGTTTCTTTCTTGACCTTTCAGAAGCCCCTTAAGAAGCAGAATTTAGGTGCTTGATTTTAGGAACGAGATTTTGGTTTTGTAGCCCTTTAAGTAATAGTCAAAGCGTGCTCATGTTGCAGAACAGCAGCTGTGGATGGAACTGTTGAGATGAATGTTGTGTGCAAGTGTGGCACTTCCTGACAGGTTTTAATTGCCTTTTGAAGGACATTAGAGGTGGGGACCTGCATTTTCTCCTTCAAGGCACTTCATGAATAAATGCACATAACTCTGGAGGCTCTACACCTTAAGCAGCCACAGCTTCAGTAAATGCACTGTATACTTTGTTCATCTGTGAATAGTAATTGAGTCCTGGACTGCATTTGTAGTGCTGAGAGTAATACAACTACCATGATGTATAATAATGCTTAAGAGCTCCGGGGAGGCTCATTTACATGATAGTGAGGGAAATGGTCTTGCCAGGAATAAGAATTAAGAGGCTGGTATTGTGTGAATTATAAAGTGGGTTTCAGGTGGGGAAGGGTATATGGGAAAAGGGTGAATAAAGGCATTAAATATCGTTGTTAGGAACATGGGTTGGCTTTTATTTCTCCTTTGACTTGGAATAAGGGGGGATCTATTCCTCTATAGCCTTTGGAGAACTGGGTGCTGCTTCTGGCTCTGCAAATCCCTACCATGGAGTCCTGCTGAAGGGAAGCCCAGGTGTGTAACTCCAATGGGAAATGCAGGCTGTTTCCAAGGCTCCCTGTGGTCACATGAAACTGTAAACCACCAGGATCTTCTCCTGCAGAACCTGCCCTCACCCAGCTTTCACCTGAAAGATGAGTTCAGTCACTGCTGTCCTCAGTTGGAGGGGCTTCCTTAGTGGCATAGTCCTTGGGGTGGCAGCATTGCCTCTTCTGTACTGGGGTGCAAACCCTTTCTAGGGACCCTTTGTGTCCTGTTTGAGTTCTAAACGCTCTGTGAACGCTTTTGTTTAGGTAAAGACGTGTGAAGCTTGGGTAGTTAAACCTTCCCAAAGGTAAAGTTGTGTGGGGCTCCCTGTTTAGTCCTCGTTTTAGCATACAGTGCCACAGGAAGGTTTCATGGCTTGCAGGCTATGGGATGGAGGAAAAACTTGGCTGGAGAAGAAGCTGGTGAGTTGAAGTGCCAGTGTGAGAAGCTCTTTGGGGAGTTGAAATTTGGGAATCTAAAGGTAGGTATTTGCTCACGCTGATTTTTTCCTAATGGCCCTAAGGAGACAAGCTTCTACAGGGAATGACTTGCACCAGTCCTGCCTCAGCTTCAGTCTCTGACTGCAGAGTTTGGCTTCCTTAGCTGAAGTTAGCCCCTGTGAATGCTCCCAGAGGGGTGCTGAGTGGCTCTGAGCCTCTGCTCCATCATATTCATAAAACAGACTGAGATTCTGGGTAAGAGATGCTACTGGAAAGCTAAGTATCACTATGGCCATAAAGCTGATGTTTGTACATCTGTGTGTGTGAGGGGAATGTGCTCTGTGAGCGTAAAGTGACTTTCCCACCCTTACAAGATTGCAGCTTTTACAGCTGCATTCCCCTTGTTTATAAAACATATAGGGCCAGCACCAGCATAATCTTGAGCTATGACTTGTCCCAGTCATCAGCTGGAAGTTGGTGTAGTGATCCAGTGAATTAGGGTGAGCACAGAGGTAGGAATTGCCATCTGGCCTGGCAAGTGGCTGATTCAGAGGTGGATGTGGGTATATCATGATGCCAGAACACCATGTGTTTTAATCGGGCTGCTTGCCCACAGGCATTTAAACCTTTCATTTACAAGTTGTGGGGCAAAGCAGTAACTGAGAAACCAGGCAGACACTCAGAGATGCTCTAGGAATCCCCAAGTGGCTTCAAACCCCAGCTGAGCAGGGGCAGACCTGATCTGAGGCCTGCTTGTCTGTGCAGGTTTTGTTTCAGCTGTAAAGATGATCAAATATAATGAGGTTCAGCAGTGAGGCTGTTACTGAAGGGAGGTCACAACTGGGCCCTTGGCAGTATTCATATCACTGTCATCTATTGCCTGAAGTGTCAAAGCTATCCACCAGCATCTAGGTGATAGGCAGCCCAGTGATGGCTTTACTTCAGACATGAGGGCAGGGTCCCAAGCTGTTTGTGGTGCCCTCAGAACACTTGGGAGAGCCCAGTCGAGGTCAGGTGCAGCCTCACTCTTTGGGAAGAGATAGCTGAAGGAGTCTGCACTGATTCTACGTGGGATTCCTTGTAGCCCTCCCTTGAACCAAGAGACTTACTTCCCACTGCAGCGATCGGCTGCTTCGAGTGAGAGGCCACTTCCTAATGCCTGCTGTCACAAAAGCACTTCATGCTGTTGCTGTCCCCCCTGACTGCAAGGGGGGGAAGCAGCAGGCTCCCAGCCTGTGAAGGGGCTCAGCTCTGCAGAGGCTGTACCCAGCAGGTAGGCAGGGATGCAGTCACACGTGCAAATGCCCTAACAGCTTAGAGACACGTGAAGCATTTGTCATTCCTCGCAGCCATCCATGTCACTCCTAACAGGTTTATATCCCTGTCATCCTTTTCATGTCAGGAATAAATAGCTGGAGATAAGTGAGGGCAGCTTCCTTGTCTTTTCAGAAAGCATTGTGGGGTGAGAGGAGGAAAGGCATCTTTGATCCTGGCTGTATCTGCTGCCTGGTGTAAGCTGGTACCCCAGGGTAACTGTTCTGCTCCTGGGGCTGCTAGCAAAAGCACAGCAGGCTGTAATAAAACCCTCCTCTCATCCCTGGGAGCTGAATGCTGATGAGGCCCTACCTGAGCTGGTCCTGGTGCATCCTGTGCCACATGCTAATGCCTCCAGTGCTGCCTACAAAGGGCAGCAAACAACCTCCTTGGGAAAAGGAGATGGGGATGTGGAAGCTCTGTCAGGCACTGCTGAGATGAGTGAAACAACCCAGGCAATGGTAGGTCTCTAAACTTGGGTTACCATGTGTCTAGGCTAAAACGGTGCTGTCCCCACATCAGCTTTGTACTGGTGTGAATTGGGATGCAAATGTGAAGATGGGGCAGGAATGATGCTGCTGGGTGCCTTCCAGCTGAAACAACTGCACTATTGCATCTGAGCACCTCTCCAGCTGAGAGCCTGTACCTCTCTTCAGGATTTATGGATACTCTGGAGTTGGCTGGGAGACCTTGTGCTGCTGTGGCAGCCAGCCCTGCCATAGGCTGCAGGTGCCAGGCTGGCACAGAGCTTGTGCCTGAGGGAATGGGGGTTTAAAATCCAATCTCCTCCAGCTGACAAGTGCCTACTTAAGCCAATTGCTTTACAAGGGCCAGTGGGCATCCCCATTGCCTTCCCTCTGTACTGTGCCAATGGGGTTGTACAAACATCCCCTCATTTGCAAGAGCTGTTATTCTACTTGGGTTCTCCCTCTTCAGCTCCTTGTTTTCATTCTTCTTCTCTGCAACTGTAATATGCTGGGATTTAGATCCCTTTGGACCTGATTGCATGAGAGCTAAATTCTTCCAGGGATTTGCATGAGATGAATCTGGGTAGCAGTTACATTGACATTAGCATGGCCTATTCTTTGTTTTAACTGGTTTATGGTTAAGGCCAGTAGTAAGTTGGACCCCTGTGCTCCAGGAGTATGGAATATACAGGTGTGATGTGTACGATGAGGCTCAGAAATAGTGGCAAATGTGGCTGGTGTGCAACTCGAGTGGGTCAGTACTTGCATGGGTGCTGAATGTTCCTTCTCTGCTGTGCTGGAGCAGACCTGGCTTGAGCCAAAGCTCCTCTTTAGGGCCTTGCATGTCCCTAGGTTGTGGGCAGTAGTTTTGCAGGAAATAACCAATGTTGCCTACTACATGCTGAAACACTTCCTGCCCCAATGGTGTAAGAACAGGGAATGCCAGTGTCCTTGATAGCTGGGTCACGAGTAGCTTCTAGACCAAACTCAAAACCTACAGATGCTGCACCTTCATTCTTATGCACACAAACCTGTCTTTCCTTCTGCTCAGCACTGAATGGTCCAGTGAGCAGGACAGCAGCATCCCAGGAAGAAGGCAGAGTCATCCCAGCCCTCGGTTCTGTATGCTCTGCTGAAGTGTTTCTGTCACTAGAGAGGACAAGGGCTCCTGCTCTCTCAGCATCATGGTTTGAGTTTTCCAGCAGAGCTGCCTGATGTGCTCTTTGGACCTTGAAGGATTTGTTCCATGTCAGATGCAAGAATAAGCACAAACTATGCATTCAACTTCCTGAAGGATTCTCACAGGGATGATGGTGAAAAGCGGCTCAGGACAGGTTGGTGTTCCTGCTTTGCATGCCAGAGGATAGCCCTTGTCATGGAGTTCCTGCTGGGATAACAGTGTTTCCAGGCAGATTGAATGATCTCCTCTTCAGTCTTCCAGTGTTGCTGGTAGTAATGCTGCTGTTTGAGATCAGAACAACAGAAATGGCCAACGTTGTGGAGGTGAAATGATTGAAGATCGTCTGTAGCAGTTCCTGTGACTTCTCTTGTTCTATGGAGGAGGAATCATTGCTCAATACTGGCAGTGGTGCAGAGGCATGAAAAGGAATTAACCTGAGCACTTTATTGTGCTGATCTTCATCCAAGCATCATAAAACATTAGCCAAAGGTGAC